AGTTCGAGACCATTCTTGCTAGACGACTGTTTTTGGCATGCGCTCTGCTGGCTCAGATTTGTCAGTCCTTAAACTATAGCGAACACTTTTGAGTTGGGCACCCTCCTTTCGTACTGAACTATATGAATCCTGTGAAGCGCATGGAAGTCCTACGAACAGCAGAGACTCTCCGGTCGACTATGAAGGCTTCCCGAGGTCTGCAATATTCCCAAGGGCGTAAATTGTCATAAATATATCTAAAGGGTCCCCATATAACTATAATAAGGGGCTCTATGATGGCCAATTATTCAGTCCAAATGATGTACTCTATTACCAAATTGCTTTGTAGACGCCATCTTGTATTACGCTTGACGGAAACATTTGAGTAGCAGCTACATCTGTGCGTTGTTTTAGTAACTGTTGTCCTTCTTGCTAGAATTTTGTTTGCTGTTCATTTTCCAAAATATAACATGGCAATTTGAAGTGCAATCAAATTGAGTCGATTAGAAGACTCTATTTGAAGCAGACATTTTGGGAAGTCTGTAAAAATTCATTTACATTTCTTTTGTTGCTTTCATCCCCTTTTGTAAACTTATTTTCGGCGAGAGTAGTTTTCGAGATACAACGAAAAAAGTTGGTTCTCGAGAGACTTTGCTCTTTAAAAGACCTTTAATCCATCTTTTTTGCAAATATTGTACATGCAAATTGCTGACTAATACCATGTGATTGGGCTATCCATTCGTTCATATTCTTTGTGAACATACATTGCGACTCACTAATTATTGAATAAGAATGTAGTCACCCTAGACCACTTAAAGTAATTGAGTAAAGTGCGTCTCCTGATACCAATGAATTTCATTTCGTCTTACCTCTCAAAAGCTATTCTTATCCACACCAGACTGCTATTTCTTCTTCGCTCCTCATCAGCATCATAACCGGATTAGAAACGGCTGTCCGTGAGCCACAGCACAACTTTGACTCCCAAGGCGGGCTAGACCAATCACAACTCATACTAATGGTTGAAGTTTCAATGATGCAAACATGTATTTACCTTTGAAAGCGTCACATTACTTAAATTCAATGTGAGTACGCTTCAAAACGATTATTAATTCTACCATACAAACGATCAAAGCGTTGTCATTTATGCGAATTAAGTCACTCTAGGTCGCTTGAGATCATTTAAAGACTAATAATAGCCTTTATCACCTTGAGTGAATAAGTCCGTATTTTAAAAATTAGTGATGTTTTCTAAACATACTCATGCTGAATGTAAATTGAATCAATATTCTAATTCTCGACTTATTGCAAGTTATATGAATCCATTACAAACTGGAGTTTGACTACAAACGAACCCACCACATTTGCTGTTGGTTTTGTACTAGGGCCCTAGATGGCTTGAGCAAAGGTTTCATGAATGATCCAGAATTGGTGAGACCGCATTGGCCGGCAGAAGTACCGGGTCAGTACTGTACGTTTGAGGTCACGAATATAATTTAAGGCCATCAACGCATGGCTTGCGCTTTTTGTCTAAGCGATGCCATTAGCCAAGCAGCAAGACGAAACCAACTTTAATGCGATTGCTTACCTTCTCTCCTGTGCTCTTTCAGGTATTTGGTTGAACAGGGCGCCAACCTGGAGGTTTGTACAGCCGACAACGAACGGCCCATAGATCTGGTCGACCCTGCCGATCTGGACGTCGTGTCGTACATGCTGAAAATGCAAATGTCGTCAAGTCGCAGCGGCAGGCAAGACAGTCATTCGCGGCGGAGCGAGGCAACCGGGTCGAGCCGGGAGGCCGGACGGATGCAGGCATGTGACGACGTAAAAAGATGTGGCAGTGGAAATGCAAAAGGAAACAACAGGCTGAAAGATGAGGAGGCGGAAGGAAAAGAGGGAGAAGGGGACTTTGAGAAGGAGGACAAGCGCACAAATAAAGCAGAAGAGACACATCAAGAGGCATGCCCCAGTGCTCCTTCGGACGAGCCAGACGCAAGAGACTCAGCGCCCGATCGGCATTTGGCAGGTTCGAGGGACGCACAGCCTCCGGTCGGCACAGCGCCAAGTCCGAAACAGGCGCCATCAGCTGACGAAGATGTGTCGAAACCGGCGGTTCAACAATCCTTGGTCAAGAAGAGCTGAGCCAGACCGGAAAGGGGATGAGAACTGAATGTGGTCCAGTGATGGCAACTGCAGCGCCGGTGCTGGAAGTGAGCAGTCAGTGGCTCAACCACCGATCCAGCGCCACACTGACGGTGTTGCGGCAGACAATCTTACCCTCTTTGGGGTCAACATCCTGACAACCTACCACTTTTGACCTATCTCTGCAAAACTGGTAGTCTCAATGAATTTGATTGCGTTAGAACGGTTGGTTGTCAAGGTAATCGATGGCATTTTACCCCACGGAGTAAATGTTAAAAAAGGACTTTGTGCACACCGCCTGAGAAGAGATCATGTTCACTTACTTTCATGTGACTGTGCCTTCATTTATGAAGACTAGCCTTTTCCTTTTTTCCTCATACCCGTCGCCCTGGTGACCCGGAAGACGGGTCGGAGCCAAGCCGACATTTGCGGCCGACCTGGCGCTCGGAGGAATTCTCATTTGGTTACCTTGACGAGTTGAGTACAGTGGGTGAAAGCAAGTGTCTTAGTCATCATGATAGACGAAGTAATGCATGCATACAATTTTTCTGGCAAAAGCCTGACACCGATGGATCAAGACATCTTCGCCGGCCTCATTGAGACGACATAAAGTCCTAAATGCTTATTTTACGTTGTGTAATACGAGGACGAAAATAATGAACGTTGATTTGTTGCTAACCGATTCACACTTACACGTTAGCAAGTATGCAAGCTTCTCCCTTGGTCGTTAAGCCCTAATAACCCAGACTACGGGTTCGAACTGGTGGTTTCGTCACCTGACTTTCACGCATGCAAACTTGCATCTTAGCAATTCAACCAGGGTTATTTACGGACCAACGCAAACTGAGGCATACTTTTTTCTTTGGGTCATTGAGCCTTGATAACCCTGGGATAATGTTACGTTTTCTTCTAATTATTATGAATTATGCCCGGTTTTGCGTACAGACTTCACCATACATAACTATACAGTTATACTCTGGTATAAGTTAATTAATTGTTGAGCTTACTGCCATTTCGAGTGAAGGTGTTGGGTGAAAAGATTCGAAGGTCGGTTGCACCAGAAGACGATGGCGGATTTCTCTTGACCAGCTGTCGATTGGCTTTACT